TGACTCCTGTTGTTGACTTAACAAATTGACACTCTTGTTTATGGCATCAGTAATCACCCTAGGCTCTTGTCATGAGTCACCAAGGCTATGGAAGCCTTTTGAGTTCACCAACTCTGATCATATTTAGACAAGGTCATAGTCAAAGTGGAAGTTCTCTCCTCCCTTCAGAGAAAGGTACCTCCTTCTTTGATGACCTGTTCTTTTCACTGGGATCTCACTCGCGGAGATCTTTCATGTAGGGTGTTTTTTTTTTTTTTTCTTTCTTTTTTTTTTTTTTTTCCCCAGAGTGTCTTGGCTTTCCATGCCTGTAATACTCTCATGGGCTTTTCAGCCAGATCTGCGTGCCTTAAGGGCTGATTCTGAGGCCAGAGTGCTATTTAGGACATCTGCCATTCTATGGGTCTGCTGTGTATCTCGCTTCCCATGTTGGATCGTTCTCTCCCTTTTTTATTCTATCAGCTAGTATTTGCAGACACTAGTCTTGTTTATGTGCTCCCTTTGGCTCTTAGTCCTATCATTATGCTCAATTGTGAACAGAAATTGATCACCAGAACTAGTGAGATGGCATTGGTACATGCCACCTTGATGGGATTGAATTGGAATCCCCTGGTATGTTTCTAACTCTACCATTTGAGGTAAGTCAGCTTGAGCATGTCCTGAATTGCACATCTCTTCCCTCTCTTACTCCCACTCTTATATTTAACAGCAATCACTTTTCAGTTAAGTTTCAACACTTGAGAATAACTGTGTATTGATTACAGTATTCAACCAAAAGTATTAAGTAGAACAAATAAACAAAAAAAAACCTCTTTATTCTTCTTAGGTTTTTTTTTTTTTTTTTTTTTTTTTTTTTTTTTGGTTCTTCTAGGTTCTTTCCATTTCCATATGAATTATGGAATTAACTTGTTTCTAAAATTATGGTTAGGAATGTGATAAATCCATAAATCTTTTTTTAATTTTTAAAAAGTTTTTTTGACAGGCAGAGTGGATAGAGAGAGACAGAGAGAATGGTCTCATAAATCATTTTTAAAAAGGGTTTATTCATTTGAAAGAATCACAGAGAGAAAGAGAAAGACAGATCTTCCATTTGCTGGTTCACTCCCCAATTGGTTGCACCAGGCAGAACTGAGCCAGGCCACAGCCAAGAGCCTGCGCTTCATCTGGATGCCCTGAGGGTGGCAGCAGCTCAGGCACTCAGGCCATCTGCTGCTGCTTTCCCCAGGCCAGTAGCAGGGAGCCATATTGAACAGACGTTGAATCTTCTAAGCCATAAACTAGTTTAATCTCCATTGATTTACCCTTCATTATTTCTCAGCAGTTAGTTTTCAGGTTAGAGGTCTTGGTTATTTTAACTAAATTGTGTATTTTGTTTTTTCATGCTGTTATAAATATTTTGTTTTCTGATTGTTGACCAGCAATACAGAAAATACAATTGGTTTCTTAACATTGGCCTTGTATCCAGTCTCTGCTAAGTCTACTTTTTTATCTTTCTTAGGATATTTTAAATAGTTTGTGAAGAGACAGTTTTGTTATCAATCGTAACTTTTTATTTTTTAAATGTCTCCCTTATTGCAGTGACTTGGACTTGCAGAGCAGGGTTGTACTGAAGTAGTCAGAATAGACGTCCATGTCTTGGTTCCCATGTTGGCAGGAGTTTGTTCCGTAAGTCACCATGAAGTGGAGAATCGGACGTCAGGTCATCCTCCTAAATCCTTTACGAGGTTGAAGCAGATTCCTTTGTCTTGTTATCTTGTTTTTTCATAATTTCATGTGGAGTCTTAGGAGCTGTTTTTCTGTACGGGTATCATCATGTTTCCTCTCATTGTCCTTGTCAGTGTGGCAGATTACTCTTGATGATTTTCAGAATTTTTTTTTGTTTTTTTTTTTTTTGACAGGCAGAGTGGACAGTGAGAGAGAGAGACAGAGAGAAAGGTCTTCCTTTGCCGTTGGTTCACCCTCCAATGGCCGCCACGGCCGGCGCGCTGCGGCCGGCGCACCGCGCTGATCCGATGGCAGGAGCCAGGAGCCAGGTGCTTTTCCTGGTCTCCCATGGGGTGCAGGGCCCAAGCACCTGGGCCATCCTCCACTGCACTCCCTGGCCACAGCAGAGGGCTGGCCTGGAAGAGGGGCAACCGGGACAGAATCCGGCGCCCCAACCGGGACTAGAACCCGGTGTGCCGGCGCCGCTAGGCGGAGGATTAGCCTAGTGAGCCGCGGCGCCGGCCAATTTTCAGATTTAAAATCAGCTTTGCATCCCTGAAATAAATCCTTTTTTAGTTATGAAGTATTCTTTTCACATGTTGTCACACTGCATTTGGCAATACTTGCTAGACTCTGGTTTTGCGTCTGTGTCCCTAAGGGGCACTGGTCACCTGTAAGTTGTGTCTTCACCTTCTCTTTCCCTATCCTTCCCCTTTCTCTGCCTCCAGCTTCTTCTCTGTAGTGTGTTATTGGTGTCAGTGTTCTGTTCCTTGCATGAAATAGAATAGAATTCGGGTAAAGTTTCTCTTTCGTTTTCTGAAAAAGTTTGTATTATTTCTTCCTTAAATGTTTGATAAAATTGACCAGTGTCCTCATCTGCATTCAGAGTTCTCTTTATGGGAGGATTTTAAATTGTGAATTAAATTTTAAGTTTCTCAGTAGCTACAGTGACTTCAGATTTTCTGTTTTATCTCACATCATTTTGGTAAGTTAGGTGTTTTCAAGGTATATGTACATTTTATCTAGGTTGTCAAATTTTACCTTTTTTTTTTTTGTTACAATCCCTGATTTTTAATATCATATCTAGAGTCCAGTTATTCCTCTTTCATTCTGATATTGGCAGTTTGTATTTTCTTTCCCTTTATAAAAATTTAGTCTTTCTAGTAGTTTATAATTCTATCAAACTTTCAAAGAACCAACTTTAAAATTTTTCTTCATTTTTAATATTTTCTATTCTATTTATTGCTTTTATATTTATTTCCTTTTTTCTTCTTGCTTAGGGTATAATTTGCTCATCATTTTAATACTACTTGTGCTAATTTAGCTGAAACATGAGTTTCTACTACTCTCCCCTCAAAATTTTGAATTTACTACTTCAGGAATTACGGCAGTGATTTATCACATGTTTTTGAGTTACTCAATTGTGAAGGCAATCCTTTCTCTTTTTTTAAGATTTATTTATTTATTTGAAAGTCATAGTTACAGAGAGGGCAAGGCAGAACGGGGGGCGGTGGGGAGTCTTCCATTCACTTGTTCACTTCCCAAATGGCCAGAATGGCCAGGGCTGGGCCAGGCCAAAGCCAGGAGCCAGGAGCTTCATCTGGGTCTCCTGTGTGAGTGCAGAGTCAAGGACTTGAGCCATGTTCTGCTGCTTCTCCAGGTGCATTAGCAGGGAGCTGGATCAGAAGTGGAGTAGCTGGGTCAATATTTCCTTAAAAGGTTGTAATAAAAATTAAGTAAAACATACACATATATTCACATTAATAATATGAACAGAACTTGGGGATTTTCTTTTTCATTTCCCCTTTTCAGCTAATCAAACCCTAGCCAACTGAAGTTCTGTTCTTCCTCTTACGAACTTTATTAGTTATACTACAGTAACTTGTTTTCAACTTCTTATTCAACTTGTAATATAAGTGATCTCAACTAGTTTATTTTTGTTGATCATACACTATTTTTGATAGTATTTACTCAGAAGAGTTTGTTTTTATGTAACGTCAAGAATGGATGGATAGGGGCCAGTGCTGTGGCATAGCAGGTGAAGTTGCCCCCTGCAGTGCCCGCATCCCATAGGGGCACCTGTTCGAGTCCTGTGTGCTCCACTTCCTGTCCAGCTCTCTGCTAAGGCCTGGGAAAGCAGTAGAAGAGGCCCAAGTCCTTGGGCCTCTGCACCTGTGTGAGAGACCCGGAAGAGGCTCCTGGCTTGGGATCAGCCCAGCTTTGGCTGTTGCAGCCATTTGGGAGTAAACCAGCAGATGGAAGATTCTCTCTCTCTCTCTCTCTCTCTCTCTTTGTCTTTGTCTTTCTCTTTCTCTCCCCCCCCCCCAACTCTGCCTTTCAAATAAAATAAATAAATCTTTAAAAAAAAAACAATTGATGGATGAAGAAGTCGAAGACATGGATTCTTACTCTACTTCTGTCATTAGCTTTATTAGCTTTCAAGGTGATACCTTTCCTGTCTGGGCTTAAGTTTTCTCATCTTTAAAAAGGGAGAATTAAAGTAAAGATTATATTATAGTTTCTTCCAGTTTTGAAATTCACTATTTGTACTCGGAGTGATAATTTGAGTACCTATATGTGCTAGATTCATATGAGAAATATAAAAATGTTTTTTAAAGAATGTGTCGGGGCTGGCGCTGTGACTCACTTGATTAATCCTCCACCTGCAGCACCAGCATCCCATATGGGCGCTGGGTTCTAGTCCCGGTTGCTCCTCTTCCAGTCCAGCTCTTTGCTGTGGCCCAGGAGTGCAGTGGAGGGTGACCCAAGTGCTTGGGCCCTGCACCCGCATGGGAGACCAGGAGAAGCACCTGGCTCCTGGCTTTGGATCAGCACGCTCCGGTCTTAGCAGCCATTTGGGGAGTGAGCCAACGGAAGGAAGACCTTTCTCTCTGTCTCTCTCTCACCGTCTATAACTCTACCTGTCAAATAATTTTTTAAAAAAATCCTTAAAAAAAAAAAAAGACCGATGTGTCTTAAAGGAACTTGACATGTAAATAGGGAGTTGAACTGTGTACACAAATGATTAAAGTACAAAACAATGTATGATAGAAGACATATAGATGTTGTAAGCGAAGTGCCACAGGTGCATTGTAATTCATCTGTTCTGGAAGGTTGTAAGCATTTTAGGGTAAGATTTGTGTTTCCAGATGCTGCTTTTGCTTTCCATTAGAGATTTAAGTCTACCATTAGACTGAAATTAGTTTAGTTGCAAATCTTTTAATGAGAAATAACAAAAGGGGCATTTCATTTTATTTTCTGTTATTTGTTCTTCAAATTTTTCTTTGTTTGCTCTACAGAATGGTCCAAGTGCCAGGTCATGTCATAAAATGTGCATTGACACCCAGCGGAGGCAGATCTACACACTGGGCCGTTACTTGGATTCCTCTGTGAGGAACAGCAAATCTCTGAAAAGTGACTTCTATCGCTACGACATTGATACAAACACATGGACGCTGCTAAGTGAAGACACTGCAGCTGATGGCGGGCCCAAGTTGGTGTTCGATCATCAGGTTTGGTGCTCAGTTAAATATATGGTGGAATTAATCTTCAAGAACCGCAGTGATGGTTGCTTTAGAGTTTATTTCAGATGTTGTGCAAGTTGTGAGTGATTTCTGCTACAAATTACTATAACAGACAATAAAAATAATTATTGTTTTGGTGGGTACATTCATTACATTTTTGGCCCCTGGTTTTGTGCAGGATGAAATAGTTTTTAATTTACAAGAACTTCTCAGGGGCCAACACTGTGGCGCAGCAGGTAAAACCACTCCCTATAGTGCCGACATAACGTATGGGTGTTGGTTTGAGTCCAGGCTGCTCCACTTCCCATCCAGCTCTCTGCTATGGCCTGGGAAACAGTAGAAGATGGCCCAAGTCCTTGGGCTCCTGCGCCCACATGAGACCTGGAAGAAGCTCCAGGCTTCTGGCCTTGGATTGGCCCAGCTCCTGCCTTTGCAGCCATTTGTGTAGTGAACCAGTAATGGAAGACCTCTCTGTGTCTCTCTATGCCTCTGCCTCTATGTATGTAGCTCTGCCTTTCAAATAAATAAAAATATCTTTAAAAAAAACTTTTGAGAGTAGATGGAGCAATATTAGAAGAAACATTTTCAAGTTTGTGAAAATATCTAAATCATAACAACTTTCCCTTCTAACATTGAATAAAAATTCAATCTTTCTGAAAGAAATTTAAAATCATTTTATAATGGGCTTGAGAATTTAAAATCTAGAGCATCTCTTTTAATTAGTCAAAAATATTTAATTCATATTAGTTATTTTGGTTATGATCAAAAATTCATTGTAAACCCAGGTACTAAATAAGATATATTCTAGGTTAAGTTTAAACTCTGCATCAGCAGCAGTCATGTAATGGGGTTGTGTACAAGAAAACTACAGTAGAAATATTAGAAGCTACTTTAATGTTAATGTGCATGTAACTCTTTTATTATTCCCATCAGTGTCATTATCATTGTCATAATGTCTTTGAAAAACTTACTCTGTATCAATTCAGTATAAGACAAACAGGCATTAATTTGAATTCTGTACATACTTTTACTTTGCTGAGCCCATGTCCAGATTTTTTTAGGAATATACAGAGAAAAGGGACTTAAGAGATGTATGATGCTATTTTGATGAATATTGCTTTATCTAGTAGTTGGAAAGGTTATACCAGAATTATGACAGTTTACTTTTTTATTTTTTGAAGGCAGAGTTTAAAGAGAGAGGGAAAGAGAAAGAGAGATACCTTCCCTCTTCTGGTTCACTTTCCAAATGGCTGCAAAGGCTGGGTCAGGCCAAAGCCAGGAGCCAGGAGCCTCATCCAGGTCTCCCGCATGAGTGCAGGAGCCCAAGCACTTGCACCATTTTCCACTGCTTTAAGCAGGGAACTGGATCAGAAGTGGAGCAGCCGGGACTCGAACTGGCACCCATATGGGATGCTGGAACTGAAAGTGGCAGCCTAACCCACTATGCCACAGTGCCAGCCCCCACAATTATAACAATTCAGCTTAGGCCTAAAATTTTCTCTGGGAGTCTTCACAGATTTTGGTAATTCTTTGTTTTGTAAAACTATCTACTTGTGATATTTATATTAACATATAATCATTATAGGAAACTAGTAAGAAAAACATGATTAAGTTGTGTCTATCAAGTAAGTAGTTGGTGGAAAATCAAAAGCATATTTTCAAGATACATTCCATATTGAATTAAGAATTTCTGCCTGCTCTGTATAACTGAGCACTGCAAAGCTGGACACATCCCTGTTGGCATCTTCAGTGTCATTCAGGTAGAAAATAAGAACTCTAAGGAAAGTTAAGCTGGTTCTGATCTTTAAAAAAAATGCAACATCTGTGGATAATATTGTTAGGGAATCATTTATATTCTTGTTCCAAATGACTACATGTTTCTTTTACAAAACATACTGCTGTCATTATTTTTACAGGTTAAAAAAAGAATGGCTCAGGATAAAATGCTTACAGCACGTGTTGAGTTCTTTTATGTGGCCTTTGTCTCTCCTAACTTTAATGCAGTAGGGTGTTCCTTGGGAGCTCAGTTCTGTTAAATAAGGCTTGTTTTTCAGCTCATTAGATGGTACACTAGAACGCTGAGGGTAAAGAAACCAAGATGTTAGTCCTGACTTAGTTCTGTTTAGCTTTGTGACATGGAGCAAGTAGCATGATCTGTATAAGCCTCTATTTTGTATTCCATCTCATTTAAATAAAACATGTAGGTTAGAACTTACAACTCAGGATGTTTGTGATGACTTTGGATCTAACACTGAATGTTCATGATGTTCTAGGATTTAACATGATGCTCACATTAAAGTAGATCATAAGAAAGCTAGAGGCATGAAGAAACGTTTAAAAGTCATTTTTCTACTTAGAATTTTAATATTTAAAAATTATAATTTAAAGTTTTTAGATTTCTTTTCTATTATTATTATTTTTATTTGACAGGTAGTTATAGACCGTGAGAGAGAGACAGAGAGAAAGGTCTTCCTTCCGTTGGTTCACTCTCCTAATGGCTGCTACGGCCGGTGCTGCGCTGATCTGAAGCCAGGAGCCGGGTGCTTCCTCCTGGTCTCCCATGCGGGTGCAGGGCCCAAGCACTTGGGCCATCCTCCACTGCCCTCCCGGGCCACAGCAGAGAGCTGGACTGGAAGAGGAGCAACCGGGACTAGTACCTGGTGCCCTAACTGGGACAAGAACCCCGGGTGCCGGTGCTACCGGCGGAGGATTAGCCAAGTGAGCCACGGCGCCAGCCAGTTTTTAGATTTCTTAAGAACACAGTTACAGCTTAGTTCTTAGGGTTTGCATGTTATTGCTTTGCGTGAATTTTCAGGAAGAATGAGAATTCAAACAAAAAGGTTTTTATAAAGACATACACAAACCACATATTCAGCAAAACTAACACCAGACAAAACAGACAACAACCAGTTCTTTCTGAGTTTAGCCAAAAATGAAATACCCAGGACTTGTGTTGAAGTCCACAACAGTGCAAAAGGGAGAACTGGGAATGCCGAGTGACCTAGCTGGTGTATCATGGAGGGAAGTGCCAGGAGCAGGGCAGCCGTCGGCCAGGTCAGTGAGTTCACGTGTGTACAGTGTGCAGAAAGCTTCAAGGGTGACAGCACTATTTCCTAAAAATGAGGGAAATACCATGAGGAAAGGGGACAGTGGCTCCTTGTTCATTGGCTAGTAAGGACCTGGAGGAACTCCGTTTGAGAAAGATTCTCCTCACTAGATGAGGCTCACCGAGTTTGAGAAGACATTGCTTCATGGAGGCACAAAATTGTGAAGAAACCGTTCAAGTTGGCAGCAGCAGTGGAGAGAGAACTTAAGCAGTGACATCCCTGCTTCACGGGAACCTCTGTAAGATTATCTGGTCCGTGGAAATTCGGCTAACTTACATATAAAAAACTAAAATGCGGCCGGCGCCGCGGCTCGCTAGGCTAATCCTCCGCCTTGCGGCGCCGGCACACCGGGTTCTAGTCCCTGTCGGGGCGCCGGGTTCTGTCCCGGTTGCCCCTCTTCCAGGCCAGCTCTCTGCTGTGGCCAGGGAGTGCAGTGGAGGATGGCCCAAGTGCTTGGGCCCTGCACCCCCATGGGAGACCAGGAGAAGCACCTGGCTCCTGCCTTCCGATCAGCGCGGTGCGCCGGCTGCGGCGGCCATTGGAGGGTGAACCAATGGCAAAAGGAAGACCTTTCTCTCTGTCTCTCTCTCTCTCACTGTCCACTCTGCCTGTAAAAAAAAAAAACAAAACAAAACAAAACAAAAAAACCTAAAATGCAATAAACACCAAATTTTTATAGAGAGGTGCACTAAAGAAAACCAATAAAAAGAAAAATAACAGCAAGACTTCCCTTCACAATAAAGCAGATGAAAATAATATCCCAGTATTTTAACATGAATTAAATGACTTAACGAAGCTTGAAACTCCGAAGAAAACTTCAAAGATATGCAGATGATGTAGCCAAATAGTAGGAACAGATGAAACCAGACCTGACAAAACTCAGGAAAAAAATTTGAGAAAAATATAAAAATAAAGTTTCCTATTTACAGTCGAAATAATAAGGACCACATGGCATAGAAGTAAGAGGTAAAGAAGATTAGCCTGAAAATCATAGATTAGACAAGCAAAAGAGAGCCAACATTTACATAATTGGAAACAATTAAAAAAGAAAATCCAAACAGTGAAACAAATATTTGTATATAAAATTCAAGAAAAATTTACTGAATAAAGAAGACTAATCCACATAATAAATGCACACACTACATTCAGGGTAGGTTCACGCAGTCAGCTCTGAGACATACATTAGTTACACTGAATTTAAAAGATAAAGACAATTTTTAGGCAGCTAGACAAAATGAACAAGCTAGCTGTAAGAGCTAAAATGAGACTGGTATCAGATTTCTCTACATCTAATAAAAAAAAATAAAGCAGCATCTAAAAGATACTCAAGAAATGACAGCGTGAACCAAGTATTCTGTTCTAAGTAACAAGTTGTCCTTCAAGTCTAAACACTTTAAGGAATTTACTTAAAATGGGATATGAGCTAGCCAAGAAATGGCAAGAAAAACATAATTTGAAGTAATTGAAAATCTCAGCTTATTGGTATTCTCTGTGGGTCGAATTGGGTCACTGGCAGGATGAATATGTACTTTGACTGTCCTCCTGCCCAACAGCCTGTGAAATGACAAGGGGATACATTAGCAGTATACTGTGGGCAGACACATTGGGATTTTCAGATATAGAAAGGATTAAGCACCCCCACCCATTCTAAGTATTTGGAAATAATACCACGAGAGAGAGGTACTGAACTCAACAAAATTCGAAATTAATTAAAACAGCTAATAAACTGAAAAATGTTTAAGATGTTAAGAGTTATTTTTAAAGTACTTCTGGAAGATAGTATATTCATGAAGAAGGAATAGCTAGAAAAATTATAAGTTAAAGATATGATAGTTAGTAAAAATGTCACTAAATTGATTAAAAAGCAGGAATGTCATATTCATCTCTAACTTGGCAAATTAGTGAGCTAAAATTATGAGAGGAAAAGAACAGAAAAAAAAATCCTAGGAGTTCTAGAGAGAATGAAGATTAAAGAGGGGGGGGGATCATCAGGTGAGGTCAGGATGAAAGAGAAAAATTCCTGCATAGAAACTTCCTCAGTGACATTATAGAACCAAAGATTAAAAGAAAATTCTAAAGCTTCCCACAGAGGGAAGGTTGGTTGCCTTTTTAGGTAAATGAGAACCAGATTGGCATGAAGCACTTTTGGAGATTGGCAGAAGGGAGGGTGTAGTTTAAACAACACGGATACCTAGAAGGCTTTATAGCAATGCCTTCAATTTGTGGGAAAAGAAAATTATTGTGAACCCAATCTAACCCTTGCCAGTTTTGTCTTCGGTGAGAGGATAAAATAAAGTCACCTTTAAGTTTAATTTTCTTTACAGAAAAAAAAAAGTTTATTTATTGTTTATTCGATTTTAGAAATTAAGTATCTAACTTGGAGACAGATATTCAGCCTACCAGTTAGGTTGCTCCTGCCCTGCATTGGAGTGCCTGGGTTTGTTTCCCGGCCCTGGCTCCAGCTCTCTGCCGGTGCAGGCCCTGGGAAGCAGTGGTGGTGGTTCAAGTGACTGAGTTTCTCCCACTCACTTGGCTAATCCTCTGCCTGCGGTGCCAGCATCCCATATGGGCGCCGGTTCTAGTCCCGGCTGCCCTTCTTCTGATCCAGCTCTCTACTGTGGCCCAGAAGGGCAGTGGAAGATGGCCAAGTGTTTGGGCCCCTGCACCCGTGTGGGAGACCTGGAGGAAGGTCCTGGCTCCTGGCTTCAGATCGGCACAGTTCCAGCCGTCGCAGCCATTTAGGGGTGAACCAACGGAAGGAATACCTTTCTCTCTGTGTCTTTCTCACGGTCTATAACTACCTGTCAAATAAAAAAAAAAAAGTATTTATAAACCTGGCAGAGTAGATGAATAGTCTTCCAATTTTTGGCTTAAAAGATTTCTTGAACACGTTGACAGAAAACACATTATTGTACAGAGCTTTATTAAGTTACTGATTTTTCAGAAATATTTTTCAGATATTCTAAGCGAAAAAACAAATGAGAGCAAAAATTCCCTAGAGTGATTAAAATTTATTTTTGTTCGATAATTAACCTTCAGTGAAACTACTCATTTTATCTAGGAAAGAATCAAGTTTAGAATAGGTAGCTGAAGGAATAAAATTGTATTTTGTGTTGTTTGTTAAGATATCAGGAAGAAATATCATTCTACTAGAGTCTTATTCTTTTCCTGAGTTGGTTTAGGCTGGTATGCTTAGGTGAGCCGCCAAGATAAAGATGGTTGCATGTCAGCCCTGGTAACAAATGAGATTAAGCTACATCAAAGTTAAGTTTAAATATCCCCAAAAGGAAAGAGAAACTCCCTTTTCAGCCAGACATTTGGGCTTGTTAATAGAGATGGGCTATTAGTATGAATCTGTGAATTTATGAAAATGGAAATAGATTCATTTAACATAGTTCCCTTGGGATGTTCAGCATGATCCCCAGCTCCCCATTAGGAGAGATGAGCTATAAATTCTTAGACCAGGATAGCACACCCAGCTTTGTTGAAACCCTAGTGACAAGTAGTTGAGCTGAAACCCTTCTGAGTAGTCGTTTTCAGCAGTGTATGGATTGTCTTCAGTGACATGATCACTTAAGATTAAAAGGTGGGAACACTTTTTATATGGAGTGCCAGGAACATGAAAACCTTGGTAACTTATTTTTTCAACCATATGTACCAAGATTGTTATAATCTTGTGGAATAGATTTTTATCTTACATTCTGGTAATCTCCGAGAAGCCTGGAAAATGGCAAATAAGGTTGATCTTTTTAGGGTAGGAAAAGCTTAGGTGATGCTAGAATTTCTTCTTTATTTTTAATTAATTAAGAGACAGGGTGAGAATGAGAGCCAGGGAACGTACTGCCATCCACTGGTTTACTCTTCAGATGGCTGTAATGACTAGGGCTGATCTGCAGCCAAACCTGGGAGCCAGCTCTCCCGTGTGAACTTCACAGGAACGCAATTGTTGGAGCCATCACTGCTGGCTCCCAGGGTCTGTATGAGCACCAGGGAAGTTGGAGACAGGAATGGAGCCAGGTTTCCAATCCAGGTACCAATGCAGAATGTAAGCATCTTACTGCTAGGCAACACCTCCCCTCTTTTTAATAATAATAGCAATACAAAACAGCATTCAAAGGTTGTAAAGCAGCTTCTTGTTTAAAAAAATGCAAAAATTTGATAAATGTAGTTTGGTGGGAGGGGAAAGTTGAATATATAATGATAATATTTATGTCTTAGCAAAAGAAAGTTTTGTACCTGCAGTTTATTCTTTTTTTTTTTTTTAAAGATTTATTTATTTATTTGAAAGGTAGAGCTACAGAGAGGCAGAGGGAGGAGGGAGGGAGGTCTTCTATCTGCTGGTTCACTCCTCAAATGGCTGCAATGGCCAGAGCTGGGCTGATCCGAAGCCAGCAGCCTAGAGCTTCTTCCGGGTCTCCTACTTGGATGCAAGGGCCCAAGGACTCAGGCCATAGCAGAGAGCCTGATTGGAAGAGGAGCAGCGGGGACTCGAACTTGTGCCTGTAAAAGATGTGGCAGTTTTACCTGCTATGCCATGGCGCTGTCCTCATGCAATTTATTCTCTAACTATAAATGTCATTTGTGTTTAACATTTGATTTCCAACTTGGATTTATATATTCTTTTTGTTTTTAAAGATTATTTATTTGAAAGACAGAGTTAGAGAACAAGATCTTTATCTGCTGGTTAACTTCTCATATGGCCACAACAGCCAAGGAGCCTGGAACTCCATCCAGGTCTTCCACATGAGTGGCAGGGACCCAAGCACTTGGGCCATCTTCCGTTGCTTTCCTAGGCACATTAGCAGGCATCTGGATTGAAAGTGGAGCAGCTAGTACTCAAACTGATGCTCGTATGGGATCCCAGTGTCATGGGCCGTGGATTACCCCTCTGTGCCACAACACCGGCCCCACATGTTCTTTAAAGTAGAATTTGAGTCTTATTATCTTGTTGACAAATGGCTGTTTTCTCACATTTTTATGAAAATCTATAATCTTGAGTTTGGAAGAATCAAGGTTGGCTTTGGAACATGAAAATTAAACTTAGATAATATTATGAAAAGAGATAAAATTCTTCCCTACTGTAGAAATCACACTGAAGACTGTTGTTTATTTTGTAACATCATTTGAGATTTCTAAAATAGAGGTTCATTTAGCTATGTCAGTCTTCCTCACATGTCTGCTTTATTATTTTATTGTAGTGATATTAATGTGATGCTGGTATAAAATAGAAAAGGGAGATTATATAAGGAGAATGAAAAGAAAGTATAATCAGCCTTCGCCCATAGAGTACGATGAGTGTTCACTCCTAGGTAGAAGTCAACACTGTACTTATTACCATTGGTCAGTTCTGCAGAAAAATTATACAGTTTGAATAAAGCAGAGAGCTCTTTACCCTAACATGTTTTACTCTCATTGGGCAAACTGGAAAAGATATTCAGAAATCCATCCTGTCTCTGCTAGATGGTGAACAATATTATATTATGTGTATATGATAATGATGTGTACTATCTTTAAGGTTTTTTTTTTTTACTTTTTAAGAATATAAAACTGTACACTTTGATTGCATCATAGAACATATGATTGGAACAAACTAAAGCTATTCAATTTGTTGCCTTATTCTGATAGATGTGTATGGACTCAGAAAAACATATGATCTACACCTTTGGTGGCAGAATTTTGACATGTAATGGCAGCGTTGATGACAGCAGAGCCAGTGAACCACAATTCAGTGGGTTGTTTGCTTTCAACTGTCAGTGTCAAACCTGGAAACTTCTTCGAGAAGACTCCTGTAATGCTGGACCTGAAGACATCCAGTCTCGGATAGGACACTGCATGCTGTTCCACTCAGTAAGAATCTTCTGTACATGCACTGTGTTAGTTTTGTCATGTATATCTCTGTAAGAAAAGCAGTGTGAAACCAAATTCATCAGTAAGAGATCAGGGCTTTCCATTAGAAATAAATGATTTGTATAGCAGTGACAAAGATTAAAACTTCCTTTAACAGTGAACAGGATCTTCCATTGTATGATTATCTTCAGTGTTTATCCATGTATTATAGCTATTATCCTTATCCCTTTCTACTTACTGACTTCTCATAATAATTAGGAAAATTTTTATCTATTCTTATTTTCTCTCTGCCACTCACCATTAAATACAAAGAATTAAGAATTGATTTTATAGACTTAAGAATAAAATTTATCAGCAGAACCAACTTAACAGACTTTTCAGATGTTTTAATGAAAGCTTGATCTTTTGTGAACACAGTTTTCAAACAATATTAAATAGTGTAAACATTCTTTAACATTTATCCTATTTTTAAATTCATTTTATTTATTTATTTGAAAAACAAGGAGAGAGAACTCCTCTGGTTCACTCCCCAAATGCCAGTAACAGCTGGGGCTGGGCCAGTCCAAAGCCAGGAGCCAGAAAGTCAGTCTGGGTCTCCCAAGTGGGCGGCAGGGACCCAAGCATGTGGACTGTCAACCGTTGCCTCCCAAGGTGTGCATTAGTAAGAAGCTGGAATCCAGACTTGAACCCAGGCACTATGATGTGGGAAGCAGCATCTTAAACACTGTGTCAAATGCCTGTCCCTAACATGTATTTTAAACATGTTCTCTCTACAAAGAGAAGGAAATAGAGTATAATAATACATTTCTGTGTATTTGTCACTTTCAGCAGTTACCAGTAATATATCTACTCATTTACATGTATCTACCTTCTTTCATTGAATTTTATTCATTTTCTTGGTTTTCCTTTGATTTTTAAGTTAATTCTTACATTTTATTTTTCTGGCATATTTTAAAGCAGATACCATTTACTGTCTCATTATAGGCATAAGTACTGTAGTGTGTAGCTCTGAACACTAAGGGCTTTTAAAAACATAATTGTAATACCATTAACACAGCCAACCAAATAACTGCACTTTCTTAGTATAACTTAATACTCATTCTATGTTTACTTTTTTTATAATATACTGAAAATGCCTGCTTAATAGCTGGCTTGTTGAATTTAGATTCTAAAGAGATCTATATATATTGCAGGTGGTTGTTAGGTCTCTTAGATTTTTTTAATCCACAGCAGTAGACTTCCAACCTTCTATTTTATTCCCCTACATGTATACCACTTAGTTACTTGTTTTAAAAAAGTGAGTCATTTGTGCTCTAGAATCGCCCATATTCATAATTTGAGTATTTTTATCTTCATAGTGTCATCTAATACATTTTTTTGTCGTTCATATTTTCTCTGAACTGGTAATTATATCCAGAGACTTGATTTTTAGATTCACCCCCCTCCCCGGGGCGGGGGGGCAAGAGGGAGGTAAGAGAATATTTCTTAGGTACTGATTGTAAAATATGAAGACATTTAATGTCTAGTCATGCTCTTGGTTGTGTTAGTTTGAGTGTTATCAGGCTGACCAGTTGTGAAGTTTCCTGTCAACCTTCCACTTAATGACTTCAGTGGCCATTGATATTCTTTGCCTAGATTTTACTAGTCAAACAACTGGTGAGTTTCTTATTCATTCTGTTTCTTCTGCATTTATTAATTGAGATTCAACTAGAAAAGAACTTCCTTTCATTAACTGTTTCATTACCCTGAAATGTAAACGTACAGAATAGGCAGCATAAATGATTATTTTCCATAACTGATTTTCACATTAATGAGTTTAGATTTCAGTTACCTGATGAGGTTTTAAAGAAAATATTACTAACTCATGGGATTTTTATGTATTTGATTTTTTTTTAAATTAAATGCTATTATTCTTTTTGATGCTCAAAATTTTCTTCCTATGTTGAGCCAGTAGGAGGCTCCCCCTATGTGTGTATATTTTTTAGTCAGACAAAAATGTAATCATGAGTTCATACTGATAAATTCAGTTCAAATTCAAGATTTTTAAAGTCTTTTACTTAATGTCTGTTTTGGTACATGTACTTGTGTATCTTTTAAACTTAAAAATCCTATTTCATAAGGAAAATATTGCTTTATCTGTAATGGTCTTTACAATAACAGAGGTAATAGATCAGTGAGTGCTGTTTAAGATTGCTTTCTGATGATTTTTCTGCTTAGAATTTATCTCCCACGAATGGATCGTTTTTAAAAAATGGAAAATCACTAGAAATACCATTTCTCTATATGATCATATCTTTATACAGATCTATTTGTTTTTTTCAAATTTCAGAGATTTTTCTCCTGAAAAATTAATGCTTTATTCTAAAAAAATTTTGTTCATGATTCCAAAATCAAAACCATAAGTCAAAATACTTACAGAGAAATCTGATTTTTATCTCTGTCTTCCTAGTGTCTTTATCAGACTTGGCTTTTGAAAAAAACTGACTCCTCTCTCTGTCCCTGTGCTTCCGCGCGCTCTCCCTTCTCACTTGCTCTCTAGAATGCCTGCACTCTCCCCTGCTCTCTCATACACACGTCCCTTTTTCTCCTATCTTAAACAAAAGCCCCAACCTGTATACATTGTCTGTACCTTGCATTTTTACTTTAACAGGTTGTCCTGGAGATCATCTCTTAGCTTCCTTTTTCTTCCTTATTCAACATAATGCTTGGGTCGTGCAATCTATCACATCGTTACTTTTGGGGTGGGCATTTGGTTTGGCTGCCGACATTCCATGTGGGAGTGCCTGGGTTGAGGCCTGGTCTGGCTGCTGTGGGAGCACTGGGTTGAGTTCCTAGCTCCCAGCTTCCGCCTGACCCAAGCCCTGCCATTGTGAGCGTTCATGGGGTGATCCAGCAGATGAGGGCCTGTGCAGACATGCCCTCTCTCTCTGTCTCAGGTAAGTAAATAATTGAAAACAACATTACTTTTTTAGAGGTTTAATTTTAAAAAAGATCATTCTGAATTTTTCATGGAAGTGACAACTCTCTCCCTTTTTTTTTTCTTTTTCAGAAAAATCGTTGCTTATATGTATTTGGTGGTCAGCGATCAAAGACTTATTTGAATGATTTTTTTAGCTATGATGTGGACTCTGATCATGTAGACATAATATCCGATGGCACCAAGAAAGACTCTGGGATGGGTAAGGGCGTTTAGCTGATTTCTCCTTGCATGTCTTAACTACTTCAGAAGGAAAACCGCTTTCCCTTTTTTTCTTTTTTCTAACCATTCTTCACCCTGTTCCATTTCTTTGGTGAGTATAATTCTGAGGAACACAACTCTGCCAGCTTTCCAATCCTGTGTACAGTACATGAATTGTTCTTACAGCTTCCTTGAAGCAGGAGGACCGTGTGTGAACTTGGACAGGAGCTGTGTATGTGCTTGTTGTGGGGAGATGACTTTGCAAAAATCAGTATTTTAAAGCTCATTATTCTGTGTTGGCTGATCCTTTCCACCATCTGTTTTTATTGCAGTGGTCTGTATGTAGGCACTAGGGTGGCAGTGTATGTCGTTGAAGGGAGGACTTCGTGTGACTGGTAGCACCTGACAACTTTAGAAGCACGGCATTTAAGAAGTTAAGCTCCTAGTTGTAGTGCCGCTGGTTTGCTCAGTTTGTGCATAGTACCACTGCATAATTGTCAGTAGTGCCCTGTTACTCTCAAAAGCGTATTGTTTTGATAATTTACCTTACATGGTAGTTATTTTGCCTGTGATTACTGTAGGCAGAAGAGTGTCTTTGATTAAGGCCTAGTGGTTTAAAGTGCCTAATTTTGAGAAATAGTGTGAGAAATTAGATCAGTTTGCTTTTCTTTCTAATGTTATTTATAAAGTAAATCTTTCTATGGTTGACTCTTTTGTAAAACAACGATGAAAATAACGCGATCAGAGAACATTTGTGGGTGCTATGTTAACACAAATTTCTAAAATAAAGAAAAACAAAGAGATCTTATATTATAGTTCATATTTAAGAAGAAAAGCACCTTTTTTTTTTTTTAAGATTTATTTATTTGAAAGTCAGAGTTACACAGAGAAGGAGAGGCAGAGAGAGAGAGAGGTCAGTCTTCCATCTACTGGTTCACTGCCCAATTGGCTGCAACAGCTGGAATTGGCGCCTCTCCGAAGCCAGGAGCCAGGAGCTTTTTCTGGGTCTCCCATGTGGGTGCAGGGGCCCAAGGACTCAGACCATCTTCCACTGCTTTCCCAGGCCATAGCAGAGAGCTGAATAAGAAGTGGAGCAGCTGGGACTTGAAACGACACCCATATGGGATGCCAGCACTGCAGGCAGTGACTTTACCCACTACGCCACAGCGCCAGCCCTGTATGGAATAGTTTTGACTCTTGGGCTTTACTCCTGTCTTTTGTTCTGGAAAAAAGTTAGAGGTTTTTTCTCTGGGAAGAAGACTCTGCAGGCAGAGGGGACAGGGTAGGAAACAGAGGAATTAGGCCTGCTATATAACTAATTCTTTGTTCCCATGATGCCAGGTGTATGTCTCCTGGCAGAAGACTTGGAATCACCTTTGTAGGAAATGTATGACTTCAGAGAAAAAGTCTCAGATATTGTTCCTGAAGATAATCTCCCCTACCCAGAGCCACCAGTGAAATGGCTGATATTGCTGGTAGTCCCTAATACAATGGCTGGGTTCATGGCCTGGTCCCCCTACAGTGTTGCCCACTGTACACACGCAGATTTCATCTCACGTTACGTCTTCACTTTTAATGAGCAATTGGTTTAGCATTTTCTGTGTTAGGGCCTTTACCATGAAAGAGATAAAAACCAGAAAACAAATCTGAAGTAATACACTGAGCCCAAGTGACTAAATGTAGTAATAATCAAGATCACTTTTCTTAGGGAAAAATATTTTATCATTAAATGGTAATAGCATCGGTGGAAGATCAGAGACTAAGAGAGAGATTTTTAAAAAGAGATTTTGTTAGAATGAAAAAAAGTAGAATGGGTGTAAGATCAACCAAAGCGAAGTTTACCAAAAAGTGGACATTATGACAAAGATGGAAATTTGAGAAAATTAGGATCTTGAAAAATCATTCCAGGAAGTCCAGTGTTGAACTAATAACAGTTCCTCCAACCATAGAGAACAAAGAAAATGAAAGAGGCTAGTGTAAAGTAATAAACTAAATAGAAAATTTTCAGATTATAAATGGCCCCCTACAGAAGTCAGTGCCTTGAATTAAAAGCACAACAAATGGAAACACTCCTCTCTCCCTGCAGAGACATTTTTGGGCAGTGTCCATTTTCATGTATTGAGAATTAAGAGAAAATCCTAAAAGCTTCTAGAGAAAAAAAAAGTTGTATTCAAAGGAACAGGATTTAGTATGATATAGAAATAAGAAGCAGCATTAGAAGAGAAAAATCTCTGGGAAAATTATCATCATTTCATCATTTTGCAGTTCTATTCCTAATACAGTGAAACAAGAGGAAAGAAATGTTTTCAGATACGCAAGGTTTCTCAGTGGAATGTGTTTGCCTGCAAGAAGTAGAAAGCCCAGTAAAAAATCACTCAAATACAAACTCATTCCTCTCACAGAACAGGAAGTCTAGAGGTAGACAGTCTGGGGTCGATACAGTGATGAAGTACTTACAGTGTCATCAGGCCCTTAGGTCCTTCTGCCTCATTTGGTCTGTTTAAGATCAGGTTGTAGGAGCCGGCAGCATGGCATAGTTAGTAAAGCCTCGACCTGTGGTGCCGGCATCCCGTGTAGGTGCCAGTTGGAGTTCCAGGTGCTCTTCTTCTGAACCAGCTCTCTGCTATGGCCTGGGAAAGCAGAAGAAGATGGCCCAAATCCGTGCGCCCCTGCACCCCGGTGGGAGACCCGGAGGAAGCTCCTGCTCCTGGCTTCAGATTGGCCCAGCTGTGGCCATTGTGTCTATTTGGGGAATTAACCAGCAGATGAAAGAGCTTTCTCTCTGTCTCTCCCTCTCTGTCTGTAACTCTTCCTCTCAAATAAATAAATAAATAAAATCTTAAAAAGAAAAAAAGAGGTTGTAATCTCACAGGAGCAAGTTGTCTGAAGCACCTCAAATGTCATTTCTTCATTCCAGGAAGGAAAAAAGGCAGGAAAGCAAAATTTGTCCAGAAAACTGCCAGCAAGCTTCTACTTACAGTTCATTGAGTATTGGCTTCAAGAGAACCTGGGAAAACAAGTGTTTAGCTTTTCCAGCTTTCATAGTCAAACGAGGAAAGGGTTTAGAAACGACGGTTGGGTTACACAATCAGCAGTCACTGATACACAAGAGTAAAAATGTGTAGACCTTTTAATGAACTTTTTCTTAAGAAGTTACCATACCATGTACTCTTAACAAAAAGGAATAAAGGTAAGAAAAGAACAGGAGCTGGGATTAAAAGGGTCCAATATAGGAAAGCAGGAGAGAGGCATCCCAAGGGGACACCTGAGAGCAGACTTAATGAGCGTGTGTCTCATACTGCAGCAGGAGTGCGTTGGATAGCAGACCTTTCTTCCTTACACAGACTCACATTTCCTGATCAAGGTTGATTCAGTAGATATGTTGGAGCGTTTGGACTTAAACAAACAAGCAAACAAACCATGCATAGGTCAACAGCCTCTGAAGTAGAAGACTAAGGCCAAGAAGATAACAGGAAGAGCAAATGTTTTTGTAAGAAAGGAAACAGCATCACAGTAAATTTCTTGGCTCTCCATTGAGCAGTATTTCCCTAATAATAAGGGAACAAGTACAATCAATTCCACAGGAAATGGGGATAAAACATAGTGGGAGGATAGTGTAAGTGTAGTAAAAGTCGTCTTCACCCGCTGTAATAGGAAGTCAGTAGGTGAGATCTGAAACAGCAGCTTCAGCATCTTTAGAAATACGGACCCAAATGACTCGTAACTACTTCCTCTGTCTAAACCTACCTGGCTTGTTTATTCATCTATCTTCTGTTACTATAAATGTGGGGGTATATGAGTTGATCTGTGACTTTGTCTGGCATTTCAGAGTTATTCTGGGGCTGACGTGGTGTAGTGGGTTAAACAGCGGCCGCCAGCGCTGTCATCCCAGATGGGCCCTGGTTTGAGTCCTGGCCGCTCTACCTCCAATGCAGCTCCTAGTAATGCACCTGGGAGAGCAGCAGAGGATGGCCAAAGTGCTTGAGTCCCTGCATGTATGTGGCAGACCACGAAAGCTCCTGGCTTTGGCTTGGCCCAACCCTGGCCAGAGAGGCCATCTGGGGAGTGAACTAGGTGATGGAAGACCTCTCTGTCTCTCCCTCCCTCTTCATGTAACTCAGATAAATAATTTTTTTAAAAAGTTATTCTAACTTTACATTAAAATAACTAGGAAGGTAAAGGTAGTAATTCCCCTATAGTCTTAATGTAGCCCTCCCTGAAAAAGGTAGTAAACACAGTATGATATGACAATTATGTGTTGAAAATTAAACATGCTGACACAGTGCTAGACTAAGATTACCGTAGAACAACCAAAATCGGTTTTCAGAGCGCTTGTAGTGTAGTAGGTAGTATCATTCTGATAGATTATGATGACTTTTCTTGACTGCTGTATGCCAAAATGTCTTTAATAGATTGAGACTCCTTTATGAAGTGAGAAAATTTGTGATCAGTGAAGTATATTTAGCATCACTATTAGATAATAGCAGAGCTGGAATTTTGAAGTTTGAGTGCAAAGAAGGTATTCTTTCTACCATACTGAATTGCTTCCCAAGATTAAAAGAAAGAAACATGGCTGACTGATAGTGGCAGGAAATGGTAGAAGCATTTACTATAATAAGTGGGCTTTAATGACTATATTAATGAAAAATTATAAAAATGAGTTATAATTATGTAATTTGCAAAGTTCATTGTTACAATGTCTTAGGGTCAGAGCTAGCTCTAGAGCTAGCAGAGTATGATCATTGTTCTTCCTGCTCAGTGTTCTTGTGATTATAAAAGTGATGATATGCATATTGTAGACAGTTTGAAAATACAGAATGATGCAGCAAACAATGTTGAAAACCACCCAGAGGTAATGTTAACAGATTAATGTCTTTCATTCTTGTCTTTTAGACTTATTTGTGGTTTGAAATTTAGCACAGTTTTGTATTCTTCTATTTTGAAATTTGTATTAAATTGTGGGTTTTTAAGTTATTGTGTTTTTATACTATCGTGAACTAT